TAAAATAATTTTTAAATAAAATAATTTTTAAATTTAAAATTTATTTTTTATTATTTATATTAAAAATATTTAAAAAATTATTAAATTTTAAAATTTAATAAATATTATATTAATAAAAAATAAAAATAGTTATAAATTATATAATAATAAACGTAAAAATATAATATAATTAAAAAAAAAATTTAAAAATATTTAAAATAAATAAAGAAATATTTTTACGTTTATATAAAAAATATTATTTATTTAAAAAATTAAAAAAAAAATAGTTTTAATAAAAAATTAAACTTTTTATAATAATAAAAAAAATAAATAATTTGGTTTATAAATTAAATTTTTTATAATATTAGAAAATATATTAGATGATATTAATAATTTACCTAATATTAATTTTTAAAAAAATAAATTTTTTTTAAAAAAAAAAATTAAAACTTAATTAAATTTTTATTAATAATAATATAAATAATTTATTATTATTTAAAATATAAACCTTTATAAAATAAAAAATAAATAAAGTAAAATCGAAATTAATTTTAAAATATTTAATAAAATGAAAAGGTTATAATTTTAAAAATAATTAATAATATTTATAAAAATTATTTATATAAAATATAACTAAATTAGTAAAAAAATTTAATAAAATTTTTTTTTAAATAAAGGTAAAGATATTTATAAAAAAAAATAAAGAAATTAAATTAAATAATATAATAATATTACAAAATTAGAAATTAATATAGATAATATTTAAAATAAATTTATAAATATAAATATTGGTTAAATATAATATATTAAATTAATAAATATTTAATAATTTTATTTTATTAAAATTATTTTAATTTTTTTATAAAATTATTTTAATTTTTTTATAAAATTATTTTTATTTAATAATTTTTATTTTTTTTTAAATTTATTATTATAATTTTATTTATTATTTTAAATTTTTTTATAAAATTATTTTTATTAAATAATTATTATTTTTTTTTAAATTTATTATTATAAATTTAATAAATTATTTTTATTTAATAATTTTTATTTTTTTTTAAATTTATTATTACAATTTTATTTATTATTTTAAATTTCTTTATAAAATTATTTTTATTAAATAATTATTATTTTTTTTTTAATTTTTTATATTATATTTATTTTTTTTTAAATTTTTTTTTATAAAAATATTTTTATATAATAATTTTTATTTTTTTTTTATTTATTATTTTAATTTTTTTTATAATTATTATAAATTAAAATAATTAATATTATTAAATTGGAAAATTTAGTAAAAAAAATTTCGGAAGAAAATTAAGATTATAAATAATTATTTAAAATAATTAAATAATAATAGGAATTAATATATAAAGTATATATAAAAAATAAGATTTATAAAGTTATTTTTATATTTTAATAAAAATTTAAAATTATAAATTGGAAAAATTATAATTATAAATATATTTAAAATAAATTTAAAATATATAATAAAATTATTATTTAAAAAATAAAAATTATTAAAAATTATTAAATAAAAATTATTAAATAAAAATTATTTTAAATTATAAATTTTAAAAAAATTATAATTTATATAAAATATTAAAATATTTAATAATTATTAAAAAAAATTAATAATTATTAAAAATTAATTTATAGAATAATATTAAAAAAATTTTAATAAAGATATAAATATATAAAAAAGTTAATAATTATAAATATGTTAAAATAGTAAATTTTAAATTTTTAAAATAAAAAATTATTAAAATTTTAAAAATATATAAAGATAATAAGATGGGGTTTAGAATTTTATTAAATTAAATAAAGAATTTTTTAATAAAAATTAGTTTTATATAATTTAATTTAATAAAATTTAAAAATATTTTTAAATTTTAATTAAAATATTATAAGATTTTTATTAATATATAAAATATATTAAAAAAAATTAAATAAATTAATATTAAAAAAGTTAAAAAAATAAAAGTTGTTAAAAAATTTAGGAAAATTAAAAAAAAACCTAAAAATTTAGTTTAAAATTAATTTATTTAAATTAATAATTTTAAATAAAATAAATTTATAAAAAAAAATAAAAAAATTATATAAAAAATTAAAATATTAATTTTAAAATTTAGTAAAAAAATTAAATTTATTTTAAAATTTAACGAAATAATAAAATTTAATAGGTTTAATAAAATAATGTAATTTAGTAATAATATTTAATAAAAAAGGTTAGAAAAAAATAAAATAAAAAATAAAATAAAAAAATTAAAAAAATAAATAATAAAATTATTAAAAAATAAAAAATTAATAAAAGAAAATAATAAAAAAATAAAATAGTAAATTATAATATTAATAAATATCTTTATTAAATTTATTAAAATTTTAAATAAATTATATTAAACGTAAAAATCTTTTATTAAAAATTTAAAAAAAAGTTAAAAATTATTTTTAATTAAATTTATATTTATAAAATTATTATTGGTAAAGTTAATTTTAATTTAAATTATTATATTTAATAATATTATAAAAATATTAATTAATAAAAAATATTAAAAAAAAAAAGAAAAAAATAAAAATAAAAAAAAAAGAAAAAAATTAAAGATTAAAAAAACAAAAACGTTTTTAATTTTTTTAAAAAAAGGAGGTTATAGTAGGTTATATTTATTATAATTAATTATTAATTTATATAATTAATTTTAAATTTAATTATAAATGAATTGGTAAATTTTCGATTTATCAATATATTTATTTTAAAAAAATCAATTAATTACAATTTTATTAAAAAATGGCTTACCAAATATTGTAAAATGATTTTATTATTAAAATGATTCCGTAAAATAAAACGATTTGCCTTTTCACGTGATATTCACGTGAAAAAATGAAGTTAAAAAAAAAAAAAGTCAAAAAATTAAAAAGATTAGTTCTTAAACCCACCACTTTTGCGTTCGTGTAACCATAAACTTTACCTTTTATTTTTTATTAAGTGTAAAGATTATTAATTTATAAGAACTTAATATATTAAATAAAAGAGAAAACTTCGTTTTTTTTAACTAAAGTAAACTATTTAATTAGTAAATGACTAATTTTCGATTAATCATTTATTTTTTATTATTAAAATTAAAGTTTAAAGTATAAACGTTTAAACTAATGAAATAAAATAGCTAATTTCATTAAATTATTTCATTGTAAAAATTTTCTTGTTTTTAAGTTTTATAACTTTTACATCCGAAAAAATAAAATTTTAACTTAAAAAAAAAAACCTTTCGAAAATTTTTTTTATTTTTTATTTTTATTTTTTTCATTTTATTTTTTTAAAAAAAAATTTAAAAATTTATTATTTTTTTTAATATTTTATTTTTTTAATATTTTTATTTTTATTTTTATTTTTTTATTATTTTTTATTATTTTTATTATTAAAATTTTATATTATTAATAAAATAGTTTTAAAAATTGGAACGATTTTACGGGATGGAATGGTTTTACGGTTATGGAACGCTTTCTTTAAAATAAGATATTAAAAGTGGGTAATATGGCCCACTATATCCGGATTCTAACCAATCAAAGCCCTTAAAACCCAAAAACGTTCCGCCGCACGGAATCATTCCAGTTTTAGAATCATTCTCCCAAACCCCCCTCCTCCGCTATGGTATACATTTATTTTCCCACTTGAGCTAACTTGCTCCTAATTGGAAAGTTTTTGTTAGCAATCTCTGGGAACGGTTCAAATACAAACGATAATTTGACATCTTTTTCGAAAAGAAGGCAATGAGTGGAACCGCCGTGATGAAACATCCCAATCTCCTCTCCTTTCTCAACTGCAACACCCTTTATGGCCGCGACCTGTTCTTCTAGCCCCTTGAATTTTCTGCCGATCTCGCATGTAGATACATCAGCCATACCCACGTAGACAGCGCCGACCAAACCAGCGGGACCTTCTGTATCTATGAAGTATACGGCACGTGTTGCTACGTGAGTAATGTACCCTTGGGACAAGTCGGGACCGGCGGGGTCAGGCTTGTGGTCGGGATCGTCATCTGGGTTATAGAAGCCATTGATGGGGGGTTCAGAGAATAGAGTCCCATCAATGACTTTAGCATATACCACCTTTCCTTTCACCGGCGAGTGCCAACGATGATAAGAGGTAGCACTGAGGAAAGCCTGATAGACGGTCCCGCGGACGAACTTGTCTACAGTGTCCTGTCGGACGCTTGGCCCTACCATCTCTGCCACCGAATACGGTTGTCCTTTCAACCAAAAGCTGTCAAGCTCATTCACGTCCCTCTGCATAGAAAACAGCTTAGACTCGCACGATGTCACGACCCAATATTCATCTTCCTTTTCCTCAACAGGTCTGTCCCCATCCATGTTCCTAAAGCTTCTGGTGAAGAAATCATCCCACGAAGCAAATCCGTAGTGGGGGTCTGCCTTGTCGCATTTGAAGAGTACGTCAAATGGTATAGGATCTGACTCTCTCGTGGGGTTGCTATCCCTCGTAAGGACTTCCAATGCCTGTTCGCAGAACCATCCATTGGGCTCCTTAGTTAGAACCAAATCCCTGGAGACCTCGTTCACAAGGATATTTGTCTTCCAGGTATTAAGGATGTTCTTGAATTTTTCGTTCACATTTGCTCTGAGAAAGAACGCATATCCACTAGGAGTAGCCATGGGCCAATCTAGGATGGCGTTGAACGGGAAGCCAATCAAGCCACTGTCGTAGCCATCCTGGTTCCACTCCGGAGCAATATTGACCATGATAAAGCTCATGGTGTCAAGCATTTGTCGATAGCTGTGAATTGTCTTGGTCCCTTTCGGATCGCCGTTATAAGGAGGCTTATTGGGAACCTCGTCAAACATAGCTGACGCCAACATACGAAGCTCCACAGTACTTTCAATCAAATCCTGGAGCTCTTTTACTTCCGGAGGATAAGATGAATCACCAGGCCTGCCACGATACGGCGTTTTACGAGCATCGTCTACTCTCTTGACGAGTTTTCTGACCCAGTCAAGCATGACATTAGAGTTGGGGGGCAACCAGCCGCCAACGCTGCCAATGCTCTTCGTAGTTGGAGTCGTGGCTGCCATAGTTAGGTAGTTGTTGATTCGTTCAAGAAAGGAAGTTATATCAAACAACCTAGTCGAATAGATAGTGGCGAATGATTCTTAGAAGTTCGTAGTGTACGATGAAATTTGCCTGATACTGGCACTCTTTGAGATGCGTGTAGGCTCAAATTTATACCCAGCGACCACACTAAACTTGCTTTCCTATACGAGTCATCCTTTCCTTCACACACTGTATCATGCACTACCTAAAGCCAAGAGTGAGACGTAAGAAGCTGAAGGAGGCCGGGAAAGACAAGTCTGATGTGCATTGCTGTACGACGTTGGCAGAATCAGGCATGTGAAAGGTTGCATATGGATTAAATGATCGACATTGAAGGTGTTGCTGATGATACCTACAGCTATCAGCATGTTAACTTCACTCCTATAGTAATATCTCAAGATAACTCATACTCTGATCAGTGTATGTATGATATATTAATTTTAATCATATTCAATAGCTATAGTTACTCATTCGAGGCATCTAGATCTTTCAGTGTCAAGTAACACTGTATTGAATGTAACCCATCCTCATACACCTATACCGATCTGTGTAACCAAACTTTGTCCCTTTTTGTCTATGATCTATGGTCCGAGTATAGCTGAAATACTACAAAAGTTTTATTATGCTGTGTCAGGATAGTTAATTATCTCCAAATGCGCCACAAGTCACGGCAAAGGACTGTGTCAGTGGATTGGTTGTGCGATATCCGTTCATTTAGCTTCCCCGGCGGATTGTTCTTCGATCCAGCTTACCACAACAACGTTGTTTGACAATAACAGCCCCTGTACTACCAATATTATGCGGTTCGGATCCCCGCGACGCCCAATTATGGCGTAGGGTGATCCGTTGTGGTAAAAAAATGCAATGTCAGTTCCGGGATGAGGGGAAGTTTGATACCGGTGTAAGCTCTGACGTGAGTGAACGAAAACGAAATATATTACTAGTCACGATGACTTCATAAACGGCTTACTGCATGGTGGTGTAGACACTCATGGCGAACCTCTACCGCCTTGGCTAGACTTTTCAGTACCGTAGAGCAAATAGAGATCGGCCTAAGTCTTCGATGAACAGAAATTACTGTACAAGTCAAGATCGAAAACATTTCAATATCGTATATGCACGAAGCCAGATTAAACATGATATCTCGCATTAGTGAAAAAGAAGCAAAAAGGCGGAAAAGTATGTCTTACTACCCGAGGTAGCGACAATGCCATGATAATTCATCTATTTCACTGTAGCTCCGCAGTATAATCAGCCACTGGCATGTAATATGCTAAGGTGAGGAAATATATACAATCGGGTAGGAAAACGGGACTTTATCTGCTTGTTCGCTTTTCTTGATAGGTATAAAGAGTAGCGTATAGTCTCCTTTGACAAAATGAATAGATGAGTTATACTATAAAACCAGACTAATATACCCAACTAAACGCTCTTCTATACTGAAATATGTATTTATGGACTAGTATTGCATTATACCTTGGCTTATTTGCCAGAGCGCAGCAAAACGCGAATGCCCTTATTGGGTTCAATAGTGTTGATATATCCTGGGAAAATGTATCAGTATGTTATTATCATAAGTAATTGGAATACTGCTATTCCATCATATTACAAATTTCCTAGGATAGTTAGGTTAACGAACTCGTTTTTTTCTACTAGGCAGGCGTATGCGGTGATGCTGCCTCATACGCTGGCTACGTGAAATTTCCGCCTAATTATATGAGGAATATTTCACAGGACTATCCTATCAATACATTCTTCTGGTACTTTAAGTCCCAGAATGACCCCCAAAGTTCTCCTCTGATTATATGGATGAATGGGGGCCCAGGCGCTTCGTCTATGTACGGCCTTTTCACGGAGAACGGTCCTTGTTACATCAATCGCGATCTTGCGCCGGAACTAAACCCCTGGTCTTGGAATAGACAATACAATGTACTCTATGTCGACCAGCCGGTCCAAACAGGCTTTAGTTATGATGTTCTTACTAGCGGCCTTCTTGATCTAGAGACCGGCAACATAATCCCTTCGACCTCCAATGATCCAGGGAATAACACTTTTATCCCGGGTAATTTTAGCAGTCAAAATGTCAAGTCGACTGCAAATACCACTGAAATTGCAGCCATACATTTCTGGAACTTTCTTCAGTCGTGGGTAAAGAATTTCACAGAGTACGACACCAGCGACAATTCGATCAGTATCTGGACGGAATCTTACGGTGGACGGTACGGGCCAAGCTTCTCTGCCTTCATCCACGAGCAAAACCATCGGATTCAGAACGGCTCTTTGGCTGATGCTGAGACTCTTAACCTCAAAACGCTTGGCATCATAAATGGATGTATTGATCTGCTCGTCCAAGAAACATCCGACCCTGAGTTTGCCCACCACGCAAATCCTTACAATATTTCTGGTATTAGCGACGAGGAATATTCAAGTGCGTTGGATGCATACTGGCGACCAGAAGGCTGCCAAGACCAAATCAACAAATGCCTTAGTCTCGCGAAAGATTTGGACCCGGAGATGTATGGTGACAATACCGAAGTCAATAACGCATGTGAGGATGCAAGCGATTTCTGCCAAAATAATGTAGAGGGTCCTTATTTATACCGCAAGAAGTCGGCATTTTATGACATTGCACATTGCTACCTGGACGCATTCCCCGGAAATGAATATCTGGACTACCTCGCCAATTATGATATACGCAACAAGCTGGGTGTGCCTGTCAACTACACTGATATATCGAATACCGTTGGAAAGGCATTCAATGTCACAGGTGACTACACGAGGAGAGACCCAAAGGGCTACCTTGAAGATATCGGCACGCTCCTAGACTCAGGTATACAAGTAGCCATACTGAATGGTGATCGAGATTATGCTTGTAACTGGATCGGCGGCGAACGCGTTAGTCTTAACGTAATCTACGGGCAGAGCGACAAATTCAAGAATTCTGGGTACGCCGACGTAATTCTACCCGGTTCCACGCCGGTAGGACAAGTGCGTCAACATAACTTGTTCTCCTTCACCCGTGTCTATCAGTCTGGGCATATGGTCCCCGCATATCAACCGGAAGTGGCCTACGCAATTATGAGGCGAGCCATGCAAAAAAAGGACATTGCTACAGGTGGTATCGTCGTAACCGAGGACTACTCGACGAGTGGCCCTCCTAACTCGACCGTTATCCTTGAAGCGCCTCCCGTTCCCTCAGTCACATGTTACTTGAGAGGGATGGGCACCACATGCGCAGATAACCAGATCCAGGCCATAAAAGACGGGAGTGCTAGTATAGACAATGGCGTGGTAGTATCACCAACCCCTTCACCAGCTCTGTGTCCCGACCCCCCAGTGAGCTTCGGTACTGTAAGGATGGGAGTAAAAGGTGAGGGTACATCTTTGTTGGGACATGAAGAACTTTGAACTTAGCGAAGACTGGTCTACTAATAGCTAGAAGTTCTGTCTTAGATGTGTCAATGGTCTGGGGATTTAATAGGAAAGGTAAGACCAAAATAATCAAGATAATTGTTACCAAAGTCTACATACCTCCTTTGTCCCTAAGATAGTTGATACATAGAAATAGAAATAAATGGTTACCTAGGTACATATCAAACAACTTAAATTTATAAAAGGCTAAGGTTGCTTTTAGTGAAGGATGCTACCCCCATTTTAATATGTACATGTACATGGGTACTTGGGGAAGTAATTCTAATAACCTAACATGGCAGCATGGCTCTCGCAAATCAAGGGTGGGGTACATTAGACGATCAATATTATGTACCTAGGTACCTAACGTAACATGCGCCTAGCATCAAAGCATTAACTTCTTATTTTCTAAATTTTGTCACTTCTGCAACTTTTACATCATGACCTCTCGTTTCACATCCCAAAATAAAACCACACAACAGCGCCTGTCAACCCATACCGTTGGCTTAGTCGCTCTATCTGACTTCCGCAAACGACGCGCCGAAGTCATCGAGCAGCAGGAGCGTGAGGTACGAGACGCCATCGCTACTGGTACACCTCTAGACACACCTGAACGTTCGCGCACCGGTACTCCAGACGACAGCATCGACATTTCGAATCCCCGAAAGAAAAAGAAGAAGGAGAAGAAGGTTGCCAAAGGACGTGGCGCTAAGCTCTCATTTGCCGATGACGATGATGAGAATGAAGGCGATGAGAATAGTGGTCGAGGAGGAGACGAGCCTAAAGATGGAGAAGAGTCCGGAGAGAAGAAACTCAAATTCAAGGCCAATTCATCAGTATCTGTTGTTCCGCGCGCGGTAACTAAAGCTGCTCTCCGTCGTGAAGCGGCTGAAAGAGAAACCTTACGGCGAGAGTTTTTAATACGACAGGAGGCTGTAAAATTGACCGAGATCGCTATACCATTTGTGTTCTATGATGGGACTGATATTCCGGGAGGTGTTGTACGTGTCAAGAAGGGTGACTTTATATGGGTATTTCTGGATAAGAGTAGAAAGGTTGGCGCTGACCTCGGCGTTGGTGAAAAGGCCAATGCTAGGAGAGAATGGGCACGTGTTGGAGTTGACGATCTTATGATGGTTCGAGGGAACATTATTGTCCCCCACGTAAGTTTTTTTCTATTATTTTTTTCATTACTTTCACTTGATATCCCTATAAGAGTAATGAGACGATACGGATCGCTAACTAATCTGTAGCACTACGACTTCCTTTTCTTCATCATGAACAAAACTGCTGGCCCCACTGGCAAGTTCCTCTTTGACTACGTGTCCGAAGTCTCGGGACCAGCACTTCCTAAGCGTCCCGTAGATGAACAAGCCGTTAAATCAGCCAACACGCAGCCGGTCGTAAGTAGCCTGGAGGGAGCTTCAGACGACCCAACCTTCACTAAGGTTGTCGACCGGAGATGGTATGAGCGGAATAAACACATCTATCCTGCCAGCGTTTGGCAAGAGTTCGACCCGGAGAAGGACTATCAGAAGGAAGTAAGGCGCGACCTTGGCGGAAATGCTTTCTTTTATTCATGAATACAACGCATGCATTACTAACTGATTGGCGACCCGATCCTATCTCCCTATATGGTACTTTAAGTTAAGGCTGAAATGTATTTCTTGGTCTACTCAGCTTGTTAGGCGGGTTGGATTGCGGTTGGTTGCTGGAGTCCACTTACGATACGAAAATGACTAGCCTGTTAGCCATCGAATGGTCAGCCAGGTTATTCCTAGGAACCACCATCCGGGCCAGAATAGAAGTAGGCACAGCGAGTTGCCACAAGAGCCAAGCATCAACGTGACGAGCTCGAAAAAAATCTTCTTCCTCAGACGCTGGATAGACTTCGTCTTCCATATCGTTCTTCCTAGGATCGCCGCATGGTATTGAAAAATATTTGAAGTCGAACGCACTTGGCTAGCGAAAATTCGGAGTACTTGAGAGAGTTGCCGGGCGAACCGGCTGACTTTCTTATGAAGAAATAGGGATGCTGCGGTAAGGATTCGCTGGCATCGGAGAAGGACCACTACAGTGGGCACAAATATTGCAATTATGCTAGAACTCGGGTTGGTCACTGCTCGGGGCTCCTTGGTTGGTGCGGTGATGATGGCGACCTTGGAGAGTTCCATTATGCCGGTTATTCCATCCAACTCCTAGCAGACTGCGTATCTATGCTGACCCCAACAAGACAAATGCTCAATCGCGGGGTATCGGCCGTCTAATATAATACAGCGGCTCAAGAAATGTATATTTCACATAAGGTCAAACCGAAGGACGCAGGGGAAAGGGAATAGGATGCGATGCAGCCAACTGGCAACCACATGTATATACCATTGCCAAACACTTGGGCTAGGAACAAATTCTAGATGCTGGTTTCTATTCAGCATATCGCGCGGTCGACACCCTTCACGAGACTCTACTCAACTTGTATAACTGTAACGGCACCCCGCGTAGTCTTAGTAGAAATTATCCCTAAAGCGGCATGGATTAGAAAAAAAATTGTATAATATGTCCCGCTCCTAAATTGTGCAATCGTGTACCCACGTGCACTTGTCCGTTGGCCATACCCAAGCCATCAAAGTGGGAAAAGCAAAGTTGAATGTAAACTAAAGGCATCTCGTACATATGGTGTGGCTTGCTTAGCAGAGCGCCGTGTTTCGTACAAGCGAAGTTCTACTAGTGTATATAGCTTCCGCATCGCCACTTAGACTCACGAGGCGCATCAATAGGATTAACAAGCTCGAAAAGCCCAAAAACTCTACTCTTCTCTGGAAAGTGGAATTCTAGGCCCGCAGATCTCGGGTCAGGGGAGGATGTATGAAACGTGCTGAGAGGTGGTTGCTAATTGGTTGTCAGGAAATATGTTATCTGGCACCGGAAGACTTTTAACGACTTTTCGGACCAAATTCCTGTTACTCCTCTTCGGCGTTGGAATCGCAACTCTGATTTATATTTGTTCTTAGCTAGTACATCAGCTATAGAAATACATATTGTGCTGACACTGGTATCGTTTATTATTCGTTGTTTTGCCACCTTCAAGTTGTAGGTAGACAACTGGGTTAATCATGTCATTATAAACATCTTCTTCTAATTATGTGATGGAATAAGCAATGTGAACTGTAGCAAACCGAGTGTAGTTTATAAATGCTATGGGTATCGTGATTGGTATGACTAAGGTACCTAATACGACGCGAAATCCCGCGTTCATCCAGGCTCTCACCTCACGGCCTGGTAATCATTCGACAGCGTTTCACCGAAAGCTATCTAGCAGTATAAGAATACACAGGAGAAAACTTGGCCGACTTTACCAATTCCTACGTCCGCCGCCACGACCACGCCCGCCAAACCCGCCAGTGCCCCCACCCCCACCACGGCTCATGCCCTGTTCATAGCTAAAATTTTGGCCTTGAGCACCGCCAAATCCTTGGCCAGGTCCCCCGAAGTTCTGGTTTTGGTTGCCCTGCCCTCCAGCGGCGCTGGCCCCGGCATTCTGCATACCCGAGAACATGGCAGACATAGTAGATGCATCCATTTGGCTCGGGTCAAGACCGGAAGCCATCATTTGCTGCATCATGGCTTGCATCTCGGGAGGTATTCCATCCATTCCGGGCATGTTTGCCATACCGGCACCTGCGCCTGCACTGCTCATCCCAGGCATACCTCCCATCATCATCATCTGCATATCTTCTAGCATCTTCTTGTTATTCTGGGCGATAGCGTCCGAGCTGTACTCGCTGCGGACATTATCTTGCTTGGCAGCATATAAGGCCCAGGTGAATTCGTCGAAGCCGTAGTTGAAATAGTCGCTCAGGTCTGTACCGGGTTTCCTCCAAGGCTTGTCATTATCTGGCAGATCTTGAATGTACCTATGTTAGCAGTAATCGGTGAATTGGGAGGAGGCGATATGCGACGAACCTTCGTCAATGTTGATCTGGGTGATAGGCTTTCCTACTGGTTTGTACACAGGTATCGCATTTACATCAACTTTGGATGTGGAAACTGCGGGTAAGTCATGGCCTGAGGTGGACCGCGTTGGTGCATCTTCCTTCTTAACAGTAGCAGGCTTGCTCGTATCGCTTGATGCTGATCTTTGAGGTATGTTTCGTATGTCGCTATATCGCGACTGACTATAGAATATGTGAGTAGATACAGACGAAGGGGAAGTTAGGTGGTACTAACGTAGGAGGAGGCGCATTTGTGCCATCTTTCCGTTCCGTGATTATATCTATGTCCGAATCATCCTCGTCCATATCAGCACCTTCATCTTCCTCTTCTCCTTCCTCTAAATCCTCCTCGTCTTGTTGTTGTTGTTGTGTGGGTTGGGGTTGGGGCTGGACAGATGTAGCCGCAGTATGAGAATCGGTAGTGTTAGACGGGTCATTTTGAGTCGTGGGCTCGTCGGGAGCATAGAAATCATCGTCGTCGTCAATATCCATTTTGTTTCTAGATGTATAAAGGTCGTACTAGGTAATAGGTTAAAATTTCGATGCTAGAAAGTTGGATGGATACAACGCCAATGCTCATAAGAAATGAAGGTTTAGATGGTAAGGGTTTAAGATATAAGTGACTACAGGTGGATAGGTTCAATTGGGTTTCAATTGGTTCAACCTTGAGCTAGGGAGAGAAGACAAGGAACTTACAGAATAAGGCGGGAGGCGATTGCGGCTGCAACGGAGCTATGGCCAGGCTTTGTTAGGTACATGCCTAGCTTAGTATTAGTAGTGTACATGTAATCCGGAGTACGGTTGACCAGACAGGGTACTGTGCCAAAATGAAAAAAAAGATCGCGCATTAGACTAAAGTTGGTAAAAGGTCACGGACCACAATTTGATATATACTTTTAAGCCTCATACGGTTATTTTTATAATATAAATATTCAATTAATCAAAAACAAACGTATACATACCCATATACCCATTTTTATATACACATATAAATTTAAAAATAATTTTATAAATATTAATTTTAAAATAACATGATATATATCGTTAAATAATTTAAATTAATGCGAAAATAATGATATTAATTATAATATTAAATGATATAAATTAAATATTATATGATTTATTTAATAAATTATAATATTATATTAAAAATTGTTTTATTAAAAAATATCACGTGTTTATAAAATAACATAATTTAATTATATTTTATTTTTATAAAAATTTAAATAACATGTAATTTAAATTATTAAATAACATGCGTTTTAAATTATTATTTTTACATTTATTATAATTATTTATTAATAATAATTATATTATTTAAAATTAAGTAATAATAAAGTTATTTAAATTTATATAATTATGTTTATTTTATTTTAAATTTTTTAATAAAATTAAAAAAATTACGTGTAACATATAAAAAATTAATTTTTTTATTAATGTTTTATATTTTATATATATATTTATATGTAAAAATATTTATTAATTATATTTAATTAAATAACTTTATTTAACGTTACGTTATATACATTACATAATTACTTTTAAAATAATCACGTGATGTTTTTTATTAAAATAATTTTTAACATAATATTATTAAATAAATCATATAATATTTAATTTATATTATATAATATTATAATTAATATCATTATTTTCGCATTAATTTAAATTATTTAACAATATATATTATGTTATTTTTAAATTAATATTTATAAAATTATTTTTAAATTTATATAAATATAAATATAAATATAAAATTTTTAAATATAATTATATATATTACGTATAAAATAATAAAATATGTACTTAAATAAAATAAGCTTTTTTCCCACTTTAAAGTGTAAAGTACCAAGCTAATTGGATAAACCCGTGCTTAACTACCCGTTTAGGCTTAATTTCCATATTTTTTTCATTTTGGCACAGTACCCTGTCTGGTCAACCGTACGGAGTACAGATCCTAGCAAATCATGTACCATCGGGGGGAACATAAGGCGCGCTAGCTGGCTGGTAACGCGACCGCACCTACAGCTCTATTAAAAAAGGTAAAAAAAAAACATTTGATAACTTTATATTACTTAACCTACCTCACACCTCATACCCGCCTTACATTCCTCCCCCTGCTTACATCCTCAAGTTCCCTTTGTTGGGCATGTAAGCTAAGGTACATCTCAGACAAACAAACGAAAAACACAAGTATCAATCATGTACTAACTCAAGTACATAGTTAAAAATAAAATTCTAACATTCCACGCCCAGGGAATCATGGCTCTGTCCAGATCAGCGAGTGGCCCTGGCGGCCTGTCTATCAACACGTCGTCCGCGAACTTGTTGTGAGTCTAGCATCTATTCTCCTACAACCCCATCATCCCTCTCCAATCCTTATGTAGCGAAACGAAACGAAACTGCTGCAATGCCTCCCGACTGGGTCATAAAGCTGACACACGGCGCCGAACAAAGTGGATCGAGTAGCACTCAGCCTCCCGCTCCTGGTGGAAGCCTTTTCGGCAATACATCAACTACACCTAAACCATCTTTATTTGGTAATCCTACCACTTCTTCTTCCACCACTACCACTCAGCCTCAATCCGGTGGTCTCTTTTCATCATCTTCCGCTACTCCATCCCAGCCGTCACAGGGAGGCCCAAGTCTATTCGGAACAGCGAATACTACTACAACGCAACCACAGCAGGGAGGGGGGCTTTTCGGGAGCTCGCAGACTACTCAGGCGCAACCGCAACAGGGAGGAGGACTTTTCGGAAGCTTACAGTCTGCCCAGACCCAGCCGCAAACGCAGACTCAGACTCAACCCGCCATCGGGCTGTTTGGTGGTAGCACGACCGCCCAGGCGACGTCTACGGGGACTGGGGCTTCTGGAACCCTCTTCGGTAGTTCTTTAAAGCCTCCACAACCAGCGGCAAGCAATGTGGGGGCATTATTTAGCCAGGCAGTCCCAGCCCAGCAGAAACCCAGTCCCTTGTAAGTTCAACCAACCCAACTTCCCTACAACCATTTCGCTAACTCGATCCACAGTGGGAGCACTCTTAGCCAGCCGACTCAATCTCAACCGCAGCAACCTGGCTTGGGCCTAGGCAGTTCACTCGGCCTTGGCCTAACCATGGGCCAATCATCAACTCAGCAGACAGTTCCCGGTGTGCGTATCGACGTAAGCAACCTTAAGGGTACTACACGATTTAACGACCTCCAGGAGGACCTACAGAAGAAGATAGAGACTGTCGATATGTTGATCCAGAGACAAATGCAATATAAGGACGAGGTAGATTCATTCATGCCCGGCCATAAGGAGATGCTTGAGAGTATCCCCAACGACGTTAGTTTTGTCGCCAAAAAGTACGAGAGTGCACATAGTGCATTAGCATCGGCTGCCCAGGCTATCGAGGCATCTCGCGGCCTAGTTGCTCAAGATGTAGATCACGCCCGACTAAGTTTCCGAGCTATCGATAACTTGAAGCTGCCTGAACAGTATCACACGGCCGGGATATGGTCCCCTAGGCAACAGTCAGCAGGCACGGCAAATACCGAGGCGGATGGACAAGACCTGGTCAGCTTTTTCTCTAAGGCGGCAGATGATATGGAAGATCAAGTAAAGAGATATGACCAGAACATGACTGAGATTGAGATGCATATGCACGGCGTTTCCGACAACATGGTGGAGCAGTTGCAGAAGATGATGGCTAACAAGACTGGGGCGTCATCTGGTCCCAACGAGAAGGCCCAAGAGCTCAGTGCTGTGCTTAGAGAGTTGCAGCAGGGTATTCTGAAGGTGGCTAGCGATGTCGCAAGCGCGAGAGAAGACATGACCCAGTTGCAACTGGGGAACTTCATCAGCAACGATGGTGATCGCAATGGTGTGTACTAAGTAGCATAATGTTTCGTGAGGCTGTGTATTAGGTAGTTTAGATACCCAAATGGAAACTTGACAATATAGCCCGATGATATAGCTACCTAGATAACATATCTGTGCATGTGTATATCCTCTGGATAGAATCTCCCATGATACGGATCAATTGCAACTACACTGTAAGACTCAGTGCTGGTACTTCTCCATATGATCAGGGCTAAATACGATAGCACTTATTGGTGTATTTATAGTATTATGATTAAACAGGGGGCATTTTTACATTTAGATACAAGAGGTGCAGTACAGCATAGAAAGACTCGATGAAACCCAACCTCCGTTATCAAACTACTACCATAATAGCACACGCCAACGCCAGCCCTTGAGGAGTTTCACGTCGTCTTCCCCAAGACCCTGATCTCCCCTTTCGATCTTGGCCATGAGCCGTTTTAAGCGTTTGGATACCGTTCTTGCTACGCGCATCGATACCTCGCTCTGAAATACGTACAGGATGGCCAATACAAAGAAGGCTATCGAGGCAAACTTGCCCTTGCCATGAACAGAATCCAAAATGCGAGAAATGAGACCTTTGCTTCTCTTGAAGGCATACTCGGTGTCGTTAGATTCTTTGTCTTTCGACGAACGGCGGAAAACCTTACGGATGGCGGGGACGAAAGACGCCCTATACGGGTATAAGAAACTATGGGAATAGACGGCTGGTTTATGTGTGATATCGCGGGAGGGGGTAAATAAGGGAGAGGAACAAATTCCAAAATGCAATCTCCCGTATGCTAGAAACTTACACTAGACCACCCAAAAGCCATCGTCGCCATCTATGGGCCTCGGCCGCCTTAGCTAAATCCGATACCTCGCTCCGCAACAGTTGTAAGTCGCTCATTATAATGCTCTGCTGAGCTTGAAAACGACGTTCGCTAGCCGGGTCGTCATACCGTCGTCTTTTGTGCAGCGAGATATACTCGCCCAATGAGTACTCGCAGGCAGTTCTTATCGATTGCAAATCCGTGCCTGCGAAAGGAGTAGAGACTGGCTGCTCAAACCTAGGGTCTGGCTGCAATGGAGGTGGACCTGGAGGCACTGGAGCTGAGGTTGAGGGCGGTGCTGGGTATGATGGCGACGGCGCTGGCTGGTACTCCATTGGGTTGAAGCGAGTGAGTGTAGCACAGGGCCGAAGCAGTGATTAATATTATACTCTTACAAGATCGTCGAAGTGAATATAACTCTTTTTTTCTTCCTGTTTCTTCCTCACTATCAGCAATTAGATAGCTCATGGTGTATGAGATCAGAATAGGAAGACCTAACGGAGGTTGGGGTCGCGGGGTAGCCGCTCAGTTAATAAGACATGCAGGCTCGGCAAAGTGGCCAAGTTTGGGGACTGGCTTGAGCAGTAAGCGTCGCAGCCACCAACTTGCATTTCTATGATACGCCACCATGTAAGTGAGATGATGATGTCCGTACGGTAATTTTTATATGTTTGCTATATTCGCAACCCTCTTCTCGCCCACGACTATTATGACTACGAGCAGAAATATACGCATATTACACACATCACTAACTGTAGTTCAAATTATAAAACAAATTGTAGTTGGACTGAAGACTAATACTCGGTTGGTAATAGGCCTTCTAATATCCTTCTCGTAATAACCTAAAGATTGTTGCAGCTGCGATTTAATTCGCTTTAACATTCAGTTAATTCCCCAGTACAGTATTTAAGTCCGCATAAGCCACTTCGTTGTTAACAAAGTCTCTTATAAAATAATTCCTTACTCAAACAAGCGATAAGTTTCCAATTACATGGGGTAAACAGGACGACTTAAATGCTAATATTCTAATGAGAATAAGTGGCAAATGTTAGGACTCTATATAGGACATCTAAAACAAAGTATACATAGCGACAGGCTCTCATAGGTACTCAAGTTTAGAATTGTGAAATAAGAAAGTTACCCATCTACGTGTCTTCTGGCTCCACCTTATTTATGATGGTTTGGGTAACCTGCCATATGAGTGAAATAGCAAACGATGATCGTGACTACATAGTCCTATCTTGGTCATTCTGATATAATGATATTTAGAATCAACAGTGCAACAATGGCCATGTTGGACCAAGCATAAGGATACGAGAAAATTCTAACGATACCTTGTAGCTGTAAGTAGGATTGTTTTCCCTTCTAGTATTAGACATTGACTATGCCCTCCTTTAGCATCTTGGTTTTGTGATTTTATGTCATTTTACATTGGAGGCTGCTAATTCACGTCGCTATTACCCATTATAAATATGAATCACTGTATGCCTCTGTCAGGACCTCGGTAGCACATGGTAAGGAATAGTGGCATATCTACTACATAGTGTAGGAGTGTATTGGTGGCTGTATTGACATATTCCCTCCTAAGAATGGGGGGCGGTATAACTAGCCTCTTTGTAACAACCAAGTCATATAAAAACTCAATATTAGCTAACAATATAGCCAATTATATGAGTATTTCATTTAGAATCAAGGTTATGTACCTATGGCTTAGGATGTAAACTTGCAGCATACTGCTTGGATACAGTGGGAATGAATGTTTTATTGTATGTACGATCGAGCTGCTCCGAAGAGGTCAGACGAGTATCTACCCTATTATCTATCTGGCACGTGTAATAATGAATGTATGCCGATCTATGGCGATGCATGGTGAATAGTCTTATCTAACACCGTCTTTGTCCATTTGAATATAACACGTGACTATCAGCAGACAGTAGAGGAGGTTATATGTACCTATGTATGGAGAAGTTGAGGTACTTACCTTAGGTATGTACCTACTTAATTAACCTAACGGGATAGATCGGATCAGCTGCAACTTCCGTGCGGTCAGCCCATCACCGGGATGAATACGGACATTTTGTCATCAGTACTTTCTAAGTGTAACGCACGCATAGAAGAGATAAGTACATGTACCTGAATAAGCTAGCATTCGGTAAAGCGCATATGTACTGCGGGGACGCCTAGATACCGCCTAGATTTGAGTGGACTTGTTGCACAAACATTCAATTTCTCTTTACCCAAATCAATGGTCTCCGTGTAGATCGGGATTAGTTTCCAACGCTTCTGTGCTCTTCTTCTGTGCTCTTAACAATGTTGCGGACGATAGGTAATACATCTATGTACCCAAGTACCTACATGTCGTGTACATAACTGACATATTACATGATGGATACGTACAAGACTCGGCCGAAAAGTCTTGTACATTACGTTTGATGTTGAGGTAGTCTATCCGGTCGACCGTATTTTAAATCTTTTCAAATCTTGATCGTAATATTAGGTAGGTAATAATCCCTAATCCTGACCCCCCCTTTTTTTGTCGGTCTAAATTGTGTGCGAATGAATTATTTACAGTAGTAAGTCCGGCTTGCGGTACAATGCGTGCGGATGGACGGGCTGACTAGGGGCGTAGATAATTTCAGGATAAAGGATCCGGCCCGCCCCCTTTTAATCCGTTGCGGCCGAAAATATGACGCCAGTTGCTGACTTTGGAGAGAACATTACAGCATCATAGGAGGCGCGGAGGCTAAATTGTAAGTGGACACCTAATGCAGCCTATCATCATCATACTTACATAGGTACATGAAAATATCTTAGATATGGTACACAATTCTGCTACGAATACCAGAATATCATTTCGTTGGATATTCCGGCGGACGGGCAATGATAACCGATCTAACCCGGTACCATGGTTGAATGTATCAATAGTTTTTTGAAAAATATAGAAAATGCTTGATTACCCCTCCGCAAAGGAGGTAGTATTAATACCTCCTCTGATATGTATTCGGACTAAAAAATGTGCTAATGCGCGCCGGCTACACTTATATTCAGACATCGGAGTAGGCTGACGGCGTTACGCGGTTTCGGTCGCCGCATAGAATAATAGGTTAGAATAATAGATCTTAGTTAACATCCACTCAATACGTGACTTAGGTATAGGTATGGAGAGAGGCCGCCATCTTACAACATGAATCTCACATCTCACGCATGGTGAAGCGAGCTTACGAGCTTCATCCTTTTCTTCACTAGTAATCCCCAGAACACATATGCACATTGTCTATATTTAGGATGGCAGGTGGCGATTGGCGTATTCGTGATACATTGAATTGCCTTGTACATTCGAACCTGCGCCGGTATAGATTCAATGGTATGGTCCACTTGAAGTGCCATAACGCCCAAGGAAAGCTATCGGAAAATCGGCGGTTCCACCACCTCCGGGAGGATTGAAGGTACGGGTGGAGAAAATGGACGGAAAAGGACCATAGGAATCTATCGAATCTATCGAATTCCCATAGAAGCCTGCGATTTTCGGCCCTACATGTCGGTACGTATGTACAGGTATACATACTTATCTTTGGGGGCTTTGGATTGACGAGGCGCCATACAGCTTTTATGCTCTATGATGAGAGGTTATACTATTTTGTCACTTTTGTTTTTGGGGGCAGTGCGAGTCTACTGATCTCTTTATGGAGCAACAGGGATAGAAGAACCGAAAGTTGAGTAGGTCAAGTAACAAGTAGGCGAAATGTTTAAGCTGGTCATCTGCCTGAGGGGGTTCGGCAGTAGTGAATACTGGGCAGGGAACGGTATTGTAGGATGACATTGTCGGAAGTATTTGACTTGGCACTTCCTTAAGCATCGGGGTGGACGCATGTATAAAATCCTAGTATTAGTTCTCTAAGATTACGCGCAATCGGTGTCGCATGATCTCGTACTGTATCCGTATGGCAACGAGGAAGGTAAGGTCTGTATGTAAGGTCGGACGGAAAATGCACCAAACGAGTCCGGTGCCGACATTAGAGGACAACCAAATAGGATAGGGATGACCATGATTGCGCGCACATGGCACTGCAGCTATGTAAGTGTCACCTAGTCATCGAACCATCTCCGCTTCGGACTATCCGCCGCCCGGATATCCCGAACGTAGAATAGTGTAAGTGATATGAGGTAGGCATATATATATATATGTGTGTGTGTGTGCGTATGCGTGCGTATGTACGTAGGCTGGTGTATTGGTAATTTATAGAACAAACCGGATAGAGCTGGTGTTGTAACCGTAAATGGGAGGGTACTTATATACACTTTGGCGTAATGTCTACGGCAGTTCTATTACTTGTTTTCGCTTGAGCTTTCTGATATCCAGTTTCGCTCTGTGATGGTGGATCTCTGATACTAGGCATAATCTAAGCCCCTATTCTACGTTTCGGCGACGGCGAGGCGGCCCCATCTCGGTCAGCAATGCGTGACCAGTGGGAGGTTTCCCGTCCCGTGTGTTCCCTTCTAGTGGCCTGTAACACGCACGACATGATGGGCTGCGTATAGGACGACGGCCGGCGGAATTCTTAAGCAGCAGCTAACGTGGCGGGGTTGGGTTGCCTGGTCGAGGTTGCATCGAGTCAGCCCCGGCTAACCGATTCAATAGCTTCGTCAGCCGAATAACAACCCCCGAAGCATAGTTTACGATGCCATTTCCCTATGACATACCGGGTGGGTAAGACGAACCGGTTAGAACCAGTGCGCCCTCGGAAGTAGCGGTATATTTCCTAGCCTACAGTATTTACCTACCTAGTATTTATTTACAAACCTGCTGGTTGGGAAATAAGTCTTGATGGCGTCAAGGTTAAATGTTCCGAATGCCAACTTTCGAACGAAAGGTTTGGTAACATAATATAATAATATAACACAAGGTACTATCAGCTCATTAGACAATCAACCTGATTAAAATGGCATTCCCGGGAGGTAACTTTAGATTAGGAGGCTGGAGAGATTTGTTGGTAGGCAGTAAAACAGGGACCGACACTCCGAAAAAGCCCCAGTCCACCCGCCGCTCTAGACCCGAGTCCGCACTCACAGTATGAAGTATTTTACCAGCGCTGTCTTCAGTTACTTCACCTTACACAGAGGTAAAAGAGGCGTATGCTCCTTTTTTTGTCCTTGCTTTCCTTTTCGCACATTAGGTGCGTATCTAGTCAAAGCGTAGCAGGTTAAACTTTTTATTTTCTCCCGTCATCCGCCTCCGAGGTTTAAAAGTAGGGTACGTAACAAGGAGCTCGGTCGGCTTGCCGAAATGTTCTATTTCGGATTTATCTTTGAGAGCGGTAACGAAACAAGCAAAATG